GAATAAGAAGAATTTAGGGGCTATGATAAGAAAAATATAGAGACTTATTTGACATTAAGGGTAACATGTAGCCTTTTTTTTTACCCCTCCCAATTTTGCTTCTCAAATCACATTCAGAAACTAGAAGTGTGACTTCTTTGGAGTTTCCAATATTTTTGTTATTCAAATTGGCCAAAAACACCCAATAACTTTATTCAAGTAAGTAAAATTCCCAATAAACCCTATGAAGAAGAACATCCAGTGAAACAATATATAATAATGGTCTTTCATCAGCATAAAGTGAAACCCTTGACAGGTTTGTTTAATTTTAAGATGGCCCTTTTAGGGGCCAACTTTTGATACATTAATGTTTTGTTTTGCAACCAGCAGAAAATTGTAATGATGAAGATGAAAACAATAACAACATTCATTTTTACAAATATTTCACATACATATATATAAAATCTTAAGTTCTTACAGTATGAGATTGACACACATAAACAGGTAACTAACCCAAACACACAAATACTTGTTTATACGGTATAAGTACTGTTCTGAAATTTGAATTATTATATGATTAAAGAAACGGCCCAAAATTAATACCAGTGGCCCATATCTCTCACCTGAGTAAATGTGTAGGAAATAACAAATTCCCAAGGTCAAGGCCATTGAGCTTCAGCAAAACAATTTAAATCAATTTTCTTACAATATAAACCTTTTTCAGCAGCAGTGTGTAGACAATTTGATCCAATGATCCTGAATGAACTTTAAAAGAAACTCGCAGGTAATGAATATGAAAATATCTAGGCTTTGGGCCGAGAAGATGTTTTAACCTTTAGTGACTTGTGCATCAAAATCATGATCAGTGATTTTATGTATGCATCTATTGTAAAGTTATCTACCTGGATAGTTTAGTCAAAAACTTTTCAATTGTCTATTTAAAAAAATTTGGATAAAAATTGACGACATAAGTTTACAGACATCAGCGTATCACAAAAACTCACCTTTGAGAACTTCATGCTCATTCAGGTAAGCTAAAAGCCTAAGAAAATAAAATACAAATATTGAAAGAGGCTATGCCTTTAATCAATGCATGTTCTTAGAGTTCCATGATAAATACTTTTATCTTTAATTCAACCTGATATCAAAACAGAAAATATGCATATTTAGTTGACCAAAATATAGTCTAGCTTGTTTTATCTTTAGAAAAATATGTGTGTCTAATTTTGTTAATAAAGAAAAAACATCTTTTGCATTAACTGAATGTTAAAATCATTTAGAACTAGAAATGTGTCCATAGGACACGGGTGCCCCCACACACCACTGTTTTGTCAATCTTATGACTCTAGGTCAAATACTTTAAATATTTAAAAAACAATCTACCTCATTGTTATCAATATATGTCTAAATTTTTAATAATAAAAAAGATCTTTTGCATTAAACATAATGTTAAAATCAAATAAAAATGTTAAAATATAAGACTTGCGATTCTGCAACTAAAAACATCATTAAAAACTCATAAATATTTTCATTACATCTTTGCAAAGTCTAGAAAATGGAAATGTCATCTGATCTTATACAGTGTTACACTTTGTATTGGTAAAGCCATTTACAACAATAAAAAGACTTCCACATATAACTAGTGCAGCATTAACTGCAGCTCACTGGGAAATATTCCACAGTTATGTAATTTGCCAAAGTCATGGCAGGTATGGCATCCTTAGTACCAGAAGAACTTATAACCAGTCCGTAATTTAACTTATTGAAAAAGCCAACCAGACTGATAAACATCTTTATATTAAATTGGGAAGGGCTGGTGTAATGTAAAATGTAATTTTTCAAAATACAAGGATTGTATAAAAAACAAACAGCATCTTCAACAAACAGAAAGAAGAAAACACCCAAAATCTTTGGAGTTCATGAAGCCAGTTAACTTAATTAGCTTCAAAATCACAATATTGTAATTTTCCTCTTTTTAATGATGACCATGATACATGTATTTCTTCTTTAGTGATGAAAGTGTATATAAAGGGGTAGAATGATGTTGAGAAATACATAGCTGTAAATGTAATAAACGAAGGGGCAAACAATGATTAATGCTATAGTCAAGGAAGTGTATAAGATATACTGTGGATTTATAACTATCAAGCAGTGTCTACTGAGGCATGTAATGATGAAATATGATAAAGAACTGTTACTATATGAATATAAATAAGGATCAGAGTGTTATACACCCCAGACTAGCCTGGATTCCAGTCTGTCAATTTTATTAAGTAATTGATACTATCAGAACCTGAAATAGTGTGTATGTTATGAATATAAAGCAAAAAATATCAACCAAATACCATTTACATTAGTTGGCAAGGTGTTTTTTATTTTTGAGTGACAGAGGGCTGGTCTAGTAAAACATTTATGGAGAAATGTAAAAGAATTAGCAAAAACGCTTGGACTAGAGATTTTCTGCCCCATGTTTTTACACAGCAAGAACTTCCTTCTGAATATAATGAGATGACAAATGCAGCCATGTTGTCCTTATTGTAGAATTGGTCAGCTAAGGGGATAATACCTGCATGGCAGTCATAGTTCAAGGTGTTAATAGTCATATTCATGTTTCAGTGTATATGTAGGTAAAGAGAATGTCTAGGCAGTAAAGGTCAAGGCAAAGAGATCAATTATTGTGTTAACAGGAAGTCCACAATGACTGACTGAGGAAGAGGACAAACAGAGGTTATGAGGCAGTTTTAAAAACTGAACAAGATGTGTCTGATGAGACAGCATACTCAACTTATTAAATAGGACACAGTAAAGGAAGACAGAACTATGAAATAAATAATCAATTAGGATTTAAGATCTTTCCATATCAGTATCAAGAAAGCCATGTTCTATATATTTTGAACCACATAATATATACATCATGTGATCATGTCAATAAAAGTTAAATAGACATTTTTATGCTTTAATGGAAAGGACAACAATTTGGTATCTGAAATTCAGTAACAAAACTGATAAAAGCAACAAGAATATAAAGTTCTTCAAGTAAAATTATAAGTTCAAAGAGGAAATAACTCTTGAATAAAGATGCTACAGTTACAAACCTTGTCATACATGATGTGAATGATGACAAAGAACAATTATCTTATGTCTAAAGTAGAAATCATTTATAACAACAAAGATAATAGTTTAAAAAAATGAAATTTTCAAATATAGTTCAAAAATGGAGATAACTCTGGAAATACATGAGCTAGAGTTTTAAATCTAATCAAATATGAATAAGATGTGCAAAATAGGAGCGGACATTTACAAGAAAAGTATGTATATAAATTTATTATGGCATCTTCTTACATAGTCCATTGAAATTCATTAGCTATGTTAAAAAAAAATTGACTGGACCTGGCAGTCATGTTAGAATTTTTTTTTTCACTCTTTTAACCTGCTGAATTTGTTAAAAGGACTTGTCCACCTTCCATTTTTGGAACTGTTCATTTTCAATTTTCGGGGATACCAAGATAAAGTTAGCCAACAATATATGGCCTGACCAAAGCTTATCTACTCCAGCAGGGTAAGGGTTAAAGTGAATTGGTCTTTATAGATCTAGCGAAATGGTGTGAGATACATGATCTGATATTACATATCACTATTTTTTATATACTTGTAAATTTATGAAATATTCATAAATATTGATTAAATCAAATGCATAGTTTTACTATGCAATACTTTCATTGTAAATATTTATTTTTCACTGCAGTGCAACATATTTTCTATACTTTCACTGCAATCTTTGCCCTAGACTTCTTTCTTCAAAATTCAGCCAGTGTAACACAAAATAAAGTGCGCTATCAACATTTTGTTTCATAAGAATACCCAAATGATACATTACTATAATTGCTTTTATAAATATTTGAAAGACTTATGGAAAATGTGCACATTGTAGCATAATCCACTTTGAAGTGGATTTGAAGTTTTTAGATCACCAGTATTACTGTACATTTCTTTAAGCTGTATTTTCTTTAGAATTGAATGACTTTTTCGTTGACAGGACTAGGATATGGTTATTGAAAGATTGCTATAAAACAGTATTTTCATTGATTGCTACATATGATTTTGTATGGAATGTTTCATAAAATTATAATGAATTATTGAATAAATAAATGTAATGATCTGCAGCTATAAAACATTTAAATACTTGTGTGTTGTGCATTTGTAGCATGATAATCATGTTGTTTTAAAGTTTTTTTGACATGGTGGGATGTGAAATAATTTTTTCAAAATACATGTTTGTTCCATTTGATGTAGGCCTAGACCAATAACCTTTGTGCAAAATTTTATATCATTAGCTCACTCCATTTTTCCAGAATAAGTATTCAAATTGTTAAAAATGACCCCAAACTGAAAAGAGTTGCAATGCTTTTCACCCAAAAGCACAAAAATACGACTTTCAGTTTAGGCCCGGACTTTGACTTCCCCGCCTATAGACTACATGTGTATATTTAAAAGAAAATCAAATAAAAAATAATAAAAAATATATAGAATTCTATACCTATCAATGAAGTTTTCAGTGTCAGTTATAGTTAGGCTCCACCATTTACAATGTAACTCAATGATAATAGGCAGGGCATTCTGATATGGACCAAATCTCAACTTTTCGGATTAATAATAATTGTCGAGTGTTCCAAGTGAAAATGGAAGCTTGCATGAAATACCGAATGACACATTTAAGACTTCCCCGTTCATAGGCCTTGCCTAATTTCATATTATTTCTCAACTTTTCTCTGCATATTTCTGTTTCGAGTGCCTAAGCTCATTATGTAATAAATTCAAATTTATGTTTTTAGGCTTTTAGATGTCAGTGGAGTCCCTTAAAACAATAACAGTGTGTATTGTGTGTATCTATAACTGTGATAAAAAATTATATCTTTGGTATAAACTCACCACCATGACTGCCTGGCAAAGATTAAAGAAGAAACGCAAGCCAAAATTTTCCAGTCTAGTGGGGCAACTTATTTCAAAACGTGCTTACTTACCGTTGGTTTCTGCAAAGGCGGTGCCAAATATGTATGGTATGTTAATTACTTCCCTTGTTCCTTTCCTCCACCAGCTCAGGTCTACTCCTTATATATTCTAAAGCAAATAACTTAAGGGGTTAATATCTTTATTAAGATGTCAAAAAAATTTGTTGTCAGAATATTTTGTTTTTAACTAAACAGGAATATGTCAAATACGATAACGTTTACATGCCAGATGAAATTTCCGGCATGGGTAAAACTCACGGAAACGCCAGTCTGCTATGCAAGATTAAAAAATCCTGAAATATCTCAATCAAATATCTATTCTACTGTAATGAACCCTTAATGTGCTGCATCAGAAGTGATAAACCTTTGCTACCAGTGAACAGCCAGCCCTGCAACCACATCGCTGCAGTCTGACCAGGCTCTTTAATTTCAGGGCCAAAACACCATTTTTGGGGAAGGGGCCTCAGCCTTTTTCTTGGGGAAAATATGCGTGATTTTGGCATACTTTGGGAAAAAGGGTCTCAAATTTAACAAAACTTTTAACAAGCTCTTCAAAATAGAAAAGCAAAAGCACTGGGAAATACAAATAAGGCAGTAAAAATCCTTAATTCAACACCATCATTTAATTTTGTTCTAAATTCTATGGGAATTTTCAAAAGACTGGGGAATTTTGAGGTTCAAACTGGGGAAAAAAAGAGGCTAGTTTGGTTGGGGAAGTAACCTATATTCGGCCTCTACAAAGAAGGGTTTTTAAGCCCTGAATTTATACTGCCGGTAGCCAAAATAGTCAGTTTTAAAAATCCTTAAACTTTGAATAGACTTTTCCAAATTCCAAGGTGGGCAAATCCATTATACAAATTCAGTAGAATGGGACTGTTTATCTTAGGATTGCTAGCCAGCTACATCTACATGATACTGCTTATCAATTTTGATTATGACTAGCCATGCGTGTTCAATCCCCATTAGCAGCAAGCCGTTGGTCCCTTGCACAAGAAACTTTACACTACTTGCTCAGTACTAATTGGTTCAAGGAATGGATTCTAGTGTTCTAGTTAAAAGCTTCCTTCACATTCTTTCACAATCAAACCAAGATAAATTCTATATAAACTAAAATTTAGTATAGAAACTAACTTCACTTACATCAACAGGTATGAGATCTTGTTTATGTTGCGACTGTTTAGTCTTGATACTAAACATGCCAAGCTGTCTTAAACCAGACTCCAGTCCCTGGTAAAAGTCTTCATATTGGCGCTCTTTCACCGATTATTTGCATCATCAGCCAACCACCTAAAATGTCACAAAGATGTATTTTCAATAAAAAGGTACAGTTATAATGTAAATATGCTATAACAATATTCAAATGAAACAGTAAGTGCATTCTATAAAGAAAATGTTTTAAAATATTACCATCACAGTTTGAGCAAGGGCCAGTTTATGGAATGTAGTGATAAATGCATGCTACTGTCAATCATAGGGTTCTCAGGTACTATCTATCCTCTATCATCAATTCCATGCTATAACCCCAAAAATTATAAATAAAAGTCAATATCATATCCACATTTAGTATTCATAAAAACAATAATATGACGCTATTTAGGAAACATCAATTTTGAGTGCATTGTTGTAGAATAATGCACAGCTTGAGGTAAAATGTGCAGGAATATAATCACCAAGGCCAATATGCCTAATTGATTAATTACAAAGCATTAATTTTGAACAATTAACTGTGCATTATTTAAGAAATAAAATATCCCAAACAGTGATTCTATCGTAAAAATAAAATCACTGTTTGGAGATCAGCTGCCAGGAATTATATAACAAGGACATAGCCCGAGTGATATAATGATGAGCATCTGAACGAAAAACAATGATTTTATCAAGGAATAAAATCACAAATTTGGATATACGATTTCAATGAATTTCACAATTTTTGTTCCCTTTCACCCACAGATGCTTTATGCTAAATTTGGTTGGAATTGGTTCAGTGGTTTGAGAAAAGAAGCTCAAAATGTTAAAATGTTAACACACAACTCACAATGACACACAAAAACGGAGAGCAATAGTGTAAAATAAACAAAGGGCAATAACTCTAAAATTAAAGATGGTTAAGGTTCTTATTCACTGCACTTCTACTCAGTAAAATCTATATACCTACAAAGTTAATACCTTTTATAGTTATATCCTGGACAAAGTTCAAAGTGTAACAAGGCTGTCACAGCAGACAGCAAGCTCAACCAATTAAATACTTGATGCAGTAAGGAAGACAAACCTATTAAAGAAAAATCAATTATGATATAAATATACATGTATTTCTTCTTATGACAAGAAGTTATAGTTGTTAACATAAATTCCAAGTTCAAGGGGGAATAATTCTGAAAATAGTTATGCTTGAGTTATGAACATTATCATACAACATGTGTGTTATGATAAGAAATATATATTTGAAGTTTGAAGTAGATACCTTAAAAAGTAATTCCAAGTTCCAAGTTCTAGGGGGAATAATTCTGGAAATAGTTATGAACATTATCACACAACATGTGTGTTATGATAAGAAATATATATTTGATGTTTAAGTAGATACCATAACAAGAGCTGTCCGTAAGACAGCGCGCTCGACTTTTTTATTGCTTGCCAATAAAAAAAGTTTTTGCAGTAAAAGGCAATACAAGAATCTCTGTATTTTTAAAGTGAACTAGTTGTTTGATACCCTTGAATATTACAGCAATGTTTATATGACATAATTTATGGTAAAGTGAACAAGTGGATAGGAATGAATTTTTTTAGATTTTTTAAGTTTTTTAGTGCTTGCCTATAATACAAAACATTGACAGTTAAGGGCCATAATTCAAATAAAATCTTTGACAGAATTACCTTCTCCTGGACATGTTTGGGAATCATGATTGTAAACAAGTATTCCAACTTTCAAATTAATATCTCGAACAGTTCAGTCAAAAAGTGGACTGGTACTAAAAACTTAACCAAGATTCTAAGTCGATAAAAGGCCTTAATTTTTAAAACAAATCCTTGACAGAGTTACCTTCTCTTGCGTACAGATGGGGGTAATGATGTGAAATAGCATTAAAAGTTTCAAAGCAATATCTCAAAGGGTTAAGGCAATAAGTGGATTTTAACCCATATTCAATGTATTTTCTAAGTCAAAAAGGGGCATAATTCTGTCAAAAACCTTGACAGAGTTATGTCCTCTTGTCTGTTGATGAAGGTCGTGATGGTAAACAAGTATGGTCAGTTTCAAAGCAATACCTCCAATGGTTTTGAAATAAAGTGAGGTGTACAAAAAACTTAACCAAGCTCAATACACTTTCTAAGTCAAAAAAGGGCCATAATTCTGTCAAAAACCTTGACAGAGTTATGTACTCTTGTCTGTAGATGGAGGTTATGATGGTGAACAAGTATGGTAAGTTTCAAAGCCATACTTGTAATACTTCTGAAATAAAGTGGGGTGGTACGAAAAACTTAACCAAGGTGTGACGCCAACGCCGACGCCGACGCCGACGCCGGGGCGAGTAGGATAGCTCCCCTTTTCATAGAAAAGTCGAGCTAAAAAGTAAAGAAGTTACAATTTTTCTTAAAGAAAATTTCAAGTTCAAAGGGAGATAAATCTGAAAATATTGCTTCAAGAGTTATGAACCTTGTCACATAAGATGTGGTTGATGATAAGGAATGTGTTTTTGAAGTTTGAGGTAGATACCTTTAAAAATAAAGAAGTTGGAGTAAAAAATAACATTTTTCGAGTAAAATACTGGTGCTAGAGTTATGAACCTTGTCACATAAGATTGGTAAATGGATAGGTGGTGGCGCTGAAAAAGTGGTCACTTTTTTTTACAACATTTCTCAAACAAAAACAAATGTTGGGGGCCTAAATGAGACATTATTTTACCATTTGAGACAACAAATAGGGGGTGAAAAAGTATATCGAGTAATTGGTTAAGAAATAATGAAGCAACAGTAAAAATAATATTTTTTCAAGAAAACTCTAAGTTCAAGGGGAGATTATTCGTGCTAGAATTATGAACCTTGTCACATAAGATGTGGTTGATGATAAGTAACATATATTTTTAGTAAACTATAAAGTTGATCCTTTAAGAAGTAAAGAAGTATCTATCTATCTTCCATTAATGTCAAACCCCTCGTGGGGACGTAGAAATGACTTTAGATTTGTCACTTCAGAGAAAGCTATGAGATACAAGGGAATCCGGTAACCAGTCCCTAGCTCTTATTGAATAGACCACTTGGTTCTTTTACATGCCCAGTGCAAAGCACTGATACATGCGTGATTACCTGGATTTCTTACCAGTACACCTCTAGTTAGGTGGGAAACACTGAAAGTGTCTCTCTGAAAAATCCAAAGGGTGTTACCCAGGATCGAACGTGGGACCTTAGGAGTGACAGCCAGTGGTCTAACCAGCTGAGCTATAGCACCACCTTTAGCCAAGAAACAGTAAAATAATAATATTTTTTAGAAGAATTCTAAGTGTAAGGGGATATAAATCTGAAAATTTTGGTGCTTGAGTTATAAAACTTGTCACATAAAATGTGGTTGGTGATAAGGAACATATATTTGAAGTTTAAAGTTGATACCTTAAGAAATGAAAAAGTTATAGTGAAAAATATTTTACTGCACCAAATCTGGATGCAGACGTAGACAGCGGGGCGAATTGGACATCTTTCTGTATACTTTGTATAGTCAAGCTAAAAATGAACAAAGGGCAATAACTCAAAATTAGGCAAGGCAGAATTACTTTTTTTTGCACTGTGCGCCTACCCATTGAGATCTATCTACCTACAAAGTTTCTTGTTAATACCCTTGTCGTTTCAGAGTTATATTCAAAGTGTAAAAATGAACAAAGGGCAATAACTCCAAAATTAGGCAAGGCAGAGTTATGGTCTTTTGCACTACACTTTTTTATATTTTAGAATTATGTCCCAGACAAGGTTCAAAGTTTAAAAATAAACAAAGGGCAATAACTCCAATAATTGACAAGGCAGGGTTATGGTTCTTTTGCATCGCTCTTCTACTCAATGAGATCTATCTTCCTAAAAAGTTTGTTGTTAATACCCCTTGTGGTATTAGTTTGTCCCGGACAAAGGTCAAAGTGTGATATAAACAAAGGACAAGAACTCTAAAATTAGGCAAGGCAGAGTTACAGTTCTTTTGCACTGCACTTCTACTCAATGAGATCTACCTACAAAATATAAGTTGATATCTCTTGTACATTCTGAGTTATGTCCCAGACAAGAAATCTGCAATGGACTGACCAACAAACCAACAGACTGACCACCAGCTGACTCCAGTATATCCCCACGAACTTCATTTGTATAACAATTTACACTGTAAAACTGATAATATCAGTTATAACTTTTTGGGGTTATGACTTGGTGGGTTGGGGCTACACTCTGGATGGGGGTGGTTTCAGATCACAGCATTTTGTCCATAGGCTGTCAATAGGTCAATGCACCAAAGAAACATACATGTATATAAAGCACAAATAAATATGGTATAATTAAGAATTAATAAGAAATAATAACATTTGAAGATGTGTACTTCTCTGTTTAAACTGCAGAACACTGGCTGTCAAATATTGTATGCAGGTAGCAATTCTGATCAATTATAGAATATTTCTTCATAAATAAATCAAGTTATATGTAATACTTAATACATGTAAAACATCTGTAATGGTCCAGGGTTATCTTAGTACTAGGGAGTTTACTTACCGGTACATGTCCATCTATCTTGTGATTTCAAGTGTGAAAACATGAGTTTCTATTTCGGAGCAGTCTAACTGTTTATTTATTTATACAGGCAACTAATGTAGAATTGCTCGAGGCTCAATGCTAAGTAATGCATAGGGGCGACATAGAGGGTTTTTTTCTCGGGAAAACCGGAGATGCCGCCCAGGCCATCATATTTCATAACAGTCGACATCGATATATTATAACTGTTTTATCGCATGATAAATATAAAGAAGAATTTTGAAGTCATAAAATATAAATTGATTTATTTTGCTTCCGGCTCTTATTAACTTAATTCCCCAAGCGGAACCTCTGTCACTTTTTAACGTAAGAGCCAACGCTATGACTATGTAACAGTAAATGGATTTTGGAAAAAAAAATATTGTTATTTTCTCGGGGACTTGAAATTGAAAATATTGCGAGTATTGCTACTCATGAAATGTTTATACAGGCAGTACGTGCCTCATTGCACCAAAACTGATTAAAAGGTTTTAGAATAAGTACGCGCAAGGCCATACATTTTTTATGACAGCCATATCCACACTTTCCGCACTCTAAAAATGTTCTTTGTTTTTTTTACGCTTAACAGTCCACTGTATTTGTCTACAGTACGCATAAACCGAGTGTACTTAGATTCAAAATTCAAAACAAAGCGGGCTAGAAATAAATGACAGAATAAAAGAAAACGTATCAAGTCAAAATATTCGCGGGATTTTAGTAATCAGGGCTGGGACGTAAAACAAACGCCCCCATCTTGGAACGAAAAAGGTATGTTTTTGTTATAACTCTTTTTGTTGGAAATGGCTTTAAACCAGATATATGTATTAACACGCTCCACTATTTTCCACTTCGTTCGGTGTTGTTTGTACAACTATTTTGTAAGCGAACTTGCAACTCGAAGCGTTTTTCCTTCAAATCAATTATATACTAATTTTAGAGTTGACCATAAACTTCAAAATATAATTTTGCATCATGTACTAAAATTTCATTAAAAGGAAATGTTTATTTTCAGAGAAAATAATAATATGTACGAAATGATACGACGCAGTTGAAAATAAAATATGAAACGACGCAGTTGTATTTTTGGTATTCTTTTCAACAGGGATAATTTTGGCAATATATGTCTATTTTACCGGATAATCACTTGTGCTAGATGAAAACTAGAAATGTGTCCATAGGACACGGGTGCCCCCACACGTCACTGTTCTGTCAATCATCAATTATTTTTTGGACTACATGTGCCACAAGTTGAAAACTAAAAATCTTTTACTAAGTAAAGGACAAGAACTTTACAAATACTGAATAAATCCACAAGGAAACCCCAAGGTGCATAAGTACACATGCTGACCAACATTCCTGTAAACATTCAGGCCTACAAGTCAAATACTTTTTGAGCTATGCATGAACAAGTTGAAAATTGCAAATTTATACTACTGTAAGTCAAGGGCAATAACTCTAACAAAACTGAAAAAAATCCACATGCAAAGTCCCGGGTGCATATCTTCACAGTGCATGATGTTGATCATTATTCCTGTAATTTAGTGATGTTGATCATTATTCCTGTAAAGTTGGTTGATTCTAACTCAAGCACTCAAGGAAAAAATAACAACATAATGAAACGGTTTTTACTAAGTCAAGGGAAATAACTCTACAAATACTGGATACATCTACAAGCGAAACCCCAGGT